GGCCGCCGCGGACGAGGGGGCAGAGGGTTGCCTTGCTGGGCTGTTCGCGCTGGATTATGCGGCGCCCATCAGCGCCCACCGGCACAGCGTGGCGCGTCGTCCCTCTACGGCCGCCAGGGACGAGGGGGCAACGCGTGACCATCTCGCCCCCCGCCCCCCTTGTACAAGGTTAAATATTTGCGCGACTGTGAGTCCCTATAACGAGCCTGCGCCGAAGAGTGCGCCTCCGGACTGTTCCCAACCGTGTGACCTTGTACAAGGGGGGCGGGGGGCGCGGGGTACAACGGGAGGCGGGGGGACGCGTCAGACACACTGTCGCCCGTGTAACTGAAGAGCTAAGGCATGCCCTATCGCCCCGCCGGCGGCCGATGCGCCAGACGGGGCGTCTTGCCAAGCTTCTGCGGTCTTACCGAAAGGCGTTCGGGATTGAAGTTATCCCCTTGGCTCTCTTCGTGTGCGTGTGCTACCTATACCGGGCGCACTTCTGAGAGCTACAGGCGCACAGGGCTAGCCTTTGCCTGTGATGATGCTCCGGACTCTTAAAAAGGAGGGCGAGCCCATGCCTCACGGTGTCGCCTGTCGTCTCGTTCGGTTTGTATCGGTAGCCGGAGGGATTGCAGAGGAGTCGGGCACGCCGAGCGAGCGGCGAAACCGATAAGAGAATGGCGGAAGCATCTGAACAGAGCCCGGAAAGACCGAGGCGAAACCGATAAGGAAATGGGAAGAGGAGAGAGACGGACTGGCCCCGCGATCTAAGGACTAGCGTGCCAAACTTTGAAGAAATGTGGCAAAATATCGAAAACGACCCAGAAGTGCCACTGTCCCCTAACGGTTTCGCTTAAGAGTTTCGCGAGGAAGGGACCCGGGACCAAGGCGATGGGAATCGCGCTGGTCCTGTTTCGTCTCTTCTTGTTTTTGTTTTGTTTTTGGAGTGTATGGTAAGGAATGCGCAAACTTTTCAAATTTGTAGCGATTTTTTACGCGGCCCCCACTGGTGAAAGTTCCAGAGTCTACCGATTTCAAGTTGAAAAGTGGCGCAAAAGTTGCTAAATCGTGCAAACAAAAGCCAAGCACCACTAAAAAAAATCAGAGGCCACCGATCTCAAGCAAAAAACATGGCCCAAAAGCTGCGAAACCGCGAAAGGAATTCCATGGGCGCCACTGGTAAAAAAACCAAAGCCCTGAAGGCTCAAGCTGAAAAACGGCCCGGAAGTTGCTAGCTTGTGCCCACTTTGTTCCAGTCACCACCAGGAAAAAGCCCAAGACCAGATCCAGAAAGGCCAGGCTAAAAGATGCGCAAAAGTGCGCCGCTTTCTGGCAGCCTTGGGCAACGCGCTCAAGCCAAACCCAAACCCAAGAAGCCCAGTGGGGTCTAAACCGTGGCCAAACTGAAACCAAACACAAGCGAAACCGAACCGCGACGCCGCCGACGCTGAAACTAAACGCAGGCCAAACGTAGACCAAACCCCCGCCAGCAGCGAGTCGAACTAGACAAACCGGGCCGAAACGCAAACCAAGCCCGGACCAAACTCAAGCCAAACCCAAACCACGCCCGCGCGCAAATGGGAACCAAACTCCAGCCAAACTCAAACCAAACCCCCGCCAAACGGAAACGCGAACCGAACACATTCAAAACCCAAGCGCAAGCCGACCAAACCCGCCGAAAGCCCGCCCGACCTCAAACCAAACAGGTGAGCCCCCTGCACGCCCGGAGCTCGAAGCAGGGCCGAAACTCGCAGCATGCTCGAAGCTCGGGCCAGGCTTGGGGCTTACGCTGAGCGCGGAACCCAAACGGGGCAGGCTGCGGCGCACTGCGTGCGCGTCTTCTCTGCTCTTCCCTCTCCTTTTTCTTGGGCCTTCTGAACCGCAGGGAGCCCGATGCCACCAGCCACCGCGGCGCGCCCTCGAATCTCGAGGAGCGAGAAGCGGGGAGAGAAACAAGAGACGCAAGAGGCGGGATGGCATGACGATGCTGCGGCTTTGGCTGCGCGTGATTCTCCAGTGCTGACCCGGTCGACACGGTCCCGCCTGTGTTGCCTTCGTCTTCTCTTTTGTTTCCCTCTCGTTTTCCTCTCTTCCAGGAGACTCGAGGGCGCGCCGCGGTGGCCGGTGGCGGGCTGTACTGCGTGCGCAGTGTGTCCCGCTCGGTCTTCTTTGTACTTGGTTCGCTCCTGAGATTCGCGGGCGCCGCGCGGTGGCTGGCGGTGGGTTATGAGGCGAGTGCACTGCGCTCCCCGTCTTTGTCTTTCAGGGAGCTCCGGCCGGGCCTTGGACTTCTTCAAGACGAGGAGCCCGCTCGGAGTCGGGAAGCCCTCGCGACTAGAACCCACACGCGGCCGAGGCCGCTCCTGGTTTCGTTCATCTGGGGAAGAGGATCCATCTCCCCAACGAAGTGAAGCCGTTGCGGGTCTTGTCGGTGAGGGGTCAAAGCTGTGCGAATTTGATCAATCTGAGGCATGTCCGTCTGTCATTTTGAAGACACTTAGAGACGGCTCCAAACTGCCGCAAGAACATAGAGAAAAACCATAACGGGCGCCGGACTGCTTTGGGACCGCGGGCCCCCCTCGACCCGCCCCGAGACCTTTGCGGCAGCCCGGACGAGGCTCGTAGGGGAGTCTTCTCCAAGCTTCTCGGAAAGCCTGGGAGGCTTGGGCAGAGCCCGCGGGAGCCGCCTCGCAAAGCCTCCGGCAGGCTGGCAAGAGGCCGCCGCCGAAGCCTTGCGCGGGGATGCATTCCTCACCGCGTGGCTAGGGCGTCACTATTAGAATCATTTGCAGACAGATGGCTACGTCTAGACTTTGGAGGAATCTAGACACAGAGCGGACGCCGGCGCTGTCCTGTGCGGCGTCGCGGTTCTGAGGTTAGAGCAGGTGGCCGCTGAGTCAGTCCTCTCAGTGTCAAGAGGTTCTCTAGTTTGCTCCGTTTTGGGCTCGGCTTGCTTCTGGTCTGGTATTGGTAGGCCGCAGGGCTTACCCGCTTCCAATTTTTAAACGCCGGGCGGGGGCATGTGTGGCAGAGATTTTCCCTAAAAGCTTCGCTTTTTCCATTCTATAGAGAGACGCGGTATACTTTTACCAACATGAGGAGAATGCCCCGCAGAATCCGACCAAAATGCTAAAAAACGAAAAGAATTAAAAAACAGAAAAAAACCGGGGAGCCGCAGCGAGGCAAGGGAACCTGGTCGCGCTACGACTTTACACGCGGGGCGATGGTGGTCGCTTCCTTCTTCCAGCCGCCGGCTGAGATATTAAATTGCTAGCCCTGTAGGGTTTTGCGACCATTTCGCCCGGCCTTACCACACCCATACGCTGCCAGCCCGCCTACTGCTCCAACTAGTTTCCCACCCAGTCACGCACTCACTTGCTTTCCAGCTGAGTGACTTTCGCACGCCCTTACCTTCGCACCTGCTTAGCTACTCACCGACCTCGTTCGCCACTTGCGTACCGGCCCACCTACGTAGCCACACATGTACCCACTTACCCACCAAATTACATACTTACCTACCTAATTCAACCACTTGCCCAGCCACTTACCCAACCACCCACGCGACCACTTACCCAACCACCAGCCCAACCACTCACCCGACCACACGCCCTCCGGCTCGCCCGCCTCTTTCCCTACCTGCCCCCCCGTTTCCTCCCCCGCCTGCCCGCGAAGCGTCCCCTGCCCTCCCGCCGGCCTCCCTCGTTCCAGGCATGCTCGTCCGCCCGCCCTCCCCCCTGCCGGCCTCTGCTCTGTCCGCCCGCCCGCCCGGCGGCGCCCTAACCTAGGACCGCCCGCTCCACCAACCGCCCGGACCCGGCTTGGCCCTGCCTGTCCCGGGCACCGCCGGGGCGCGCCAGATCTTTCCGCGTCCGGCTTGGCGTGGCTTCCCGGCGCGCGTGGCTTCCCGGCGCGCCATGCCAGGCTTCGCCCCTGCTGTGCGCGGCCTCGCGGGACCGGGCCCTCGCGCCACGCCATCGGAGGCCCCTGGGGTTCCGCGCTTTGAGCTACCCTACCTTGTCACAATCCGCCCCACGTTGCCAGGTATTTTTGTGGTGTCTCCGGCTCCCTGCACCGGAGCCGGGAGTGGGCAGCCTGGACTGCGTACAGAAAGTTTGGCGCGGACCCCGTCCTTTCTGAGAGGTTCGCGGGGCGAGGGAGCGGCGTATGGCATGCGTTGTAATTTACTTTCGCCTACGGTTAGCCTGGTTCAGCTCGCTATTGGTTTTCGTTTCATCTGCACTCAGGTTTGCACCTGCCGTCTTGTGTGCTTAGTCTCGTCCGGTTTCCGTAGCGGGCTTTCCGTTTTCTTGCGTCTTTCAACGAGAGCTCAATCAACGTGGCGCGCCTATGCCCACCCGGGCGAGGGCATTCCACTTCTATCTTGGCAGAGAATAGTTCGCCTCAGCTTCTGCCTTTGCCTTCTTTTGCAGCGATGCGTAATGTAGCTTGTTGGCTCGTCGTCTCTCTGCTAGATCGCTAAAAACTCATCGGGGGCGGGTAAAGAAGCGCGGTCTTTGTTGCACTTATAAGATTTTTTTTTAACTACATCAACTGTTGAAGATGACCTGTGTCGTGGGCACGAGGTGGTCCGTGCAATGATGATGAGCAGCGCGGCCGAAACCCCTGTCATCCGAGCCGATCCGACGTGGCGGCCCTTTCAGGCGCCTTCGCGGCAGTTGGTGTCCCCCTTCGCACGGCGGTGGGAGCACTTGGGCTTTTTCGGAAACGCGTACTTTCTTTTGCTGGACGCATCCTTCGTGCGAACAATTTTGATCACGCTCAGCGCCTACGCTCTGGTCGCGGTGCTTCTAGTCGCTGTGACGTTTCCGCTCGTCGTTAAGACCCAGACAGCCTACTACCAAAAGAACACCATGACCATCTTCTTAAGCTTGGCATCGTCCTCTGAAGGCCTTGGGTAAGATTATTATCCCATGGGGAAAAGGTGCCAAGGATGCAGTTATAGTATCGCGAACGCGGTAGCTCTAACGCTGGTGGCTTCGTTAATGCGAGTACGGGGGAAAGCGCCGCGGACGATGCGGCGGAGTTTGGCGCGCGTTTTTCAGTGGTTCTCCGTGTCGTCGTAGCCCATTTTTAAGCCACTTGTTCATATGATATCGAGGATCGTTCACTTTCTCCACCCAGATGATTAAGCATACACTGACTCCCGTTTTAGTATCTTGCCAGCATAAGTATTACTAATCCTCTGTGACTTATTAGCCCTGGAGGACTCGTCTTCCGGAACCTCTGCATAAATTTCTTTGTCATTTCTATTCTTCATTGCTAAAAGGAGGATCTTTATCTTTTTACACTTTTTCGATCGATCTTGAGTGCATCATCCGTCCGTGCTCTAAAAATTGGTTACAATGGGCCCTGGGGAATACATCGCCGCGCCATCTTATGTTATCATATCTTTCATATCTTTTCCTCCCACCCAGCGCTATTTTGATTTTGATGGATGATAACTCGCTGCTCACGCCAAAGCGGTTTCATCACGGCTTAGCTACGTATTTAACTTCGCTGTTGATGCAATTCGTTTAGTAGCTATTTCATTGTTATTACTATTTGATTTCTATTTCGCTCTTGGTGCGACAGTATTTCGCATCAGAGCTTCTCCTTTAGTTTTTCAGTTGATATTACGATAGCATCAGGGGCGCAGTTCGACATGCTAGACTCGACCTTGAACCTCGACTTCTCTTACTAGCACTCTTCATAGATGCTATCACTGGGGCTTTTTTACCACCACTCGTCATACAACATGCTATGACTGGGCGGGCTTTTCTATCCTATCCTATCCTATCCTAGACCTCCCTTACCACTCTTCACAGATGCTATGACTGGCTTTTCGTTTTTTCGACTCTCCAGCAATTTGGCGGCATTTTTTGCAACGTCTTTCTGATCGCGATTGTTCTGCGGAAAGTGGAACTGCCAACGCCGGCGCTGATTTTCAGTCCCGTCGCTCTGGTAACGTTAAGGATGAGTGAATGGGTGAATATTTTTCTATCCAAGAGTCAATAGACACATCCTTCTTTGCTATGACTCACTCTACTTCCTTTTCAAAGAAAAGGCCGCAGGACAAGAAGGCTACGATGTTTATAAAGGAATTTATAAAGGGAATGAATGAATGAATTCAACATAGTTTCAAGCTGGGTTAACTACCTACTACCTCTAGCTACTAATGCCACCACTACTACTCGGACTATACTACTCTAAGCAACAAGCGTGATGGAAAACTCGTTTTGCTAATCCGAGTGGGAAATCTTCGCTGCAACGTCATCCAGCGACCCGAAGTGGAACTTCAACTATTCACCTCCGTACTTACGAAAGAGGGGGAGTCGCGAGTTGCCAGCCAGGAACTAAAGGTTAAGCAGCCATTTGGATGTGCAATATAAAGTAGTGACGAAGTATGCTTCTTGATACTTTTTTGTTGAATGAAAAGTCGTAGGGACACGATAATTTTGTGATGATGCTTAACTAAAAATGATCTGACGTAGCTACAGAGGCACGCGAGGTTTTATTTCGTACAGCAACGAGTATGCACAAGTGAAAAGCGCGAGTGTGGCTTCTAACTAGTCCCGTACTATGCCTTTGATGTACTCCCAGTGCGTGGTCGAGCATGTGATTGATGAGGACTCACCGTTACTGCCTTTTCTCGAAGAGCATGACGATGAGGCTTTCACGCTGCTGTCGAAGATTATGTGGGCTTATAATTCACCGATTGGAAATAGAATGGCTTTATCAATAGATGTCTCTTTTATTCGATGTGCTGGCTGTTTTTTTGTCTAAGGTCTACCTGATTATTTGAGAGAAACTATCGTCCTCTAAGACACACGAGCTCTGCATCTGCGTTCTTTTTCGCGGCTTTGATCTCACGTACTACGAGGACGTATGGAGCAACTACAAGTACACGCCGGCGGACGTCGTGCTCTCCCGCGATGGCGCCTGTATCTGGTCAGATATGATCGATGCCACAGCGAATGAGCAGTTGGCAGATGACGATGGTGCCGAAACTGATTACGTCAAAATGTTGTGAACATCAATGGAGGTGATGTAATTTAATATGTCAGCTAATCGGTTCCTATTAATTGTCAAATAGATTTCTTGCGTTGTACCCTTGATTAGTTGTTTACAACTTCAAATAATCATCTCCGGCGCCTTTGCCGAAAGCACTGATACATCGTAGCGAGTCAAGTGGGAAAGAATCCCTCCTGGATGAATAAAGAGCTTTACCTTATAAATAAACGACGTCGGCAGAACTGGAGCACAAGCTTTACCCGACGTTTTTGCACCCACACGACGGCGACTTGCTGATCGAAAACCTACAGCACTAAATCGCGCAGCAGCCTTGCTTCAAAAAGGAGTCGGAACTCTGTCTTCGCAACGCGATGGGCGACCTACGATTGATTTTAACAAAATCGGCCGCGTCGTCCAAGCTAAAAAACGCCACCGTTGGGATCAACGAGGGGATGAATACGTAGTTGGAGATATCGCTGATTGCCCAGATAACTATTAAGACTAAATTTAGACCGTTAAAGGTAAAGCACCCCCAGGAGTATCACCCTTGGCCCTTTTTCTCCTTGAAAAAGAAGCCCCCTCCTCCTAGGTGAGGGGACTCCTATCCTATCCTATCCTATCCTATAGTATTACTCGTCTCAAAGATATGAGAGGAAAATTCGCACTCAGCCCCTGACGGTCTGCCCTGAGGCTAAGGGGATCTTTCTTTGAAGGTCTCGTAGACTGGAGCTTGCTGTCGGTCCTGCAGACCGTCAGGGGCTGAGTGCGAATTTTCCTCTCATAAAAGAGGAAGATGCGAACGCGGCTGCTCTAAAACCACGGAGGCTTACGCTCAGCATCTTTCGCGTCACACTTCACGGCGTGCGAAAGGAAACGCGTTCTGCGGGAAGTAGAAAAGAGAAAGATTGGGCATCCCCTTCCTCCCCTGTGTGATCTGTACGTGAAGCAGAGAGCGCAAGTGTTTAACCTCAGACGCAAAATGCGAGCTAGTTTAATTTTATGGCGTGGTCACTCAACAGTCTTTTTCACATGTCTTTTTCTCGAGGTAGGTCTTCAGTGGAACTGTGGCGTGGTCCCTGATTGGACCGAACGTTCTCATCCAGTGAATGGAGGAAGAAGAAAAGGCAGAGGTGGCGGGTATCGCATTGTTGACCTAATTTCAATTTGGTTTCGCAATTATATACCGCTGGGGACGAGTCAGCAACAAGATGAATTTCTTTCGACACTTCCAAATATAAATGTGATAAAACCTCCAACTGGTTTATTTCAAACAATTGTTTGGTAACAACATTGAGATGAAATCTTTAAGTTTACTCGAAGGCGAGACAGTGTCTGAGACGAAGACGTCTTCGTCTGTTTTTCCGCAGCTGCTTCTTCAGAAGGGGAATTTGCAAGATTCGGAGTTGCTCGTCGACCAAGTTATCGTCGATCCGAAGGAGTATCCTGATCTCACCGATGGCTCGCTTGTTTACGTCTTCTCCGGTGGAAAGCCCGGCCGTCATCGTTGGGTCAGCGACCAACTGCATTCTTCCACCAAGAAGGCTTCATCTACTTCGTGCGCCGGGGTGGCGGGACCAGTGAATTTACTGTCGAAAATGTGTGCGGCTGCGCATGCATTGGAAGTGCTACTTCGCGTTGCGGGGATACGGTACCAAACGGTCTGCATCAATTTTTTTGACAAGCCCAAATGGTTCGAAGGGGAAGAGGCGATCCCAATTGGGCACCTACCGGCAAGCCAGAGACATCGTAGGAGAAATAAGGTGTACTCATAAAAGTACTCAACAAAAGCAAGAGGCAGGTGGTTCCCTACGCACTAGAACGTGCCTGTAGGTACTTTCTTGAGGATGAGTCCGTACGTAGAGCGTGCCTGCAGGTACTTTCTTGAGGATGAGTCCCTCCGTAGAACATGCCTGTAGGTACTTTCTTGAGGATGAGTAGGTACATTTTTTGCTTTCACACATCGTGGACCCCTGACATTTCCGAAACTGGGCCTCACGCCAATGGTGTACTACGATGGGGACCTACGCGGAGAATTCGCGGACATAGTGCGATTCCTACTCCACCGTTTTGCGTATCGGTTCACAGATTCGGGACGCTTTTCGATCCCTCCTGATGCATTGTTAAGGACTGGACCACTCACTCTAGTGCAATTGACTTGTCGAGTCACGTGTTCTAGAGCGGGAGGAGTCTTTGTTTACACATAAAAAGAGCGATTGAAAATTTTCATTTGTGCATAACCTGGAGTGTTGAGAAAAAATAACCACTTGTTTCACGAACTACTGATCGTGGTGTTCCAACAACATCGCAAAGAGAATTTTCATCTCAAAGGCGTCTAATGCCGGACTCGAATGGCCTCCGTGGTTTGTTATTGCCGAAGCAACGGGATGCGTACCTCACACTACAGATGTTCGCCGATGCCGCCGCACTGCCCGAGCCACCTCCCCCACCGCCTGCAGACGCACTCCAACTCCAACTTTTGACCGAGGTGAACGTAGCAGAGCATTTAGCCGAGCAACAAGTGCGTCGGGACAAAGAAGGACCATCTGCACGTCTAGACGGAACATCAAACACAACAAGCGCTGGAGCAACTGGGAACGAAGGTGTAGTGTTAACTGGACTCACCGCAGGTGACCCTGCAGCTGGCGGCGTGACGGATAGTACTAGTTTCCCAACGGTGGATACTAGTACGACAAGTACGAACTCCAAGAAATTTCGGACCATCAATTTTGAGCAGATCATCTACCTGTACACAAAGTTTAGCTACTTTGTCATCCTGTATTCGACGAATGTCGGAGTACTACAGCAAGAGCTGACTGCAAAAGGTGTCAAGGACCCTCAGGCGTTTGAGGATGCGGAGGAGCAGCACGAACTACTTAGTGCCATCACGAAACAACTAAGAAACAACTTCGCAGACATCGAGACGGCGTACGAAGAGAGCAAACGATTCAAAAAAGGACACTCACAGCTGCAGTTAAGCAAAAATGGCTAGATGTCATGTGATTCATCTTCTCTCCTGCAGGAGAGTGTTTGTTTCTCTGTGATTCCGTGATGATGGAGGATAGTCATCATCCCTGGATAATGCATGAATCTCGCGCACGTGAAAAGTGTCGTGAGCTCTCTAAAAGCGCAAGGAGCTAATAACAACGCCAGCACATCAGCAGGAGCAGAGCAGCATGGTCAACACGCCTCTCCGTTTCTGTACGGCGAACTGCCGAGTGTGATGGAAGTGGTGTTTCTGGGCGTGATAACTCGGTACAAGGAGTACTTGAGGCACATCTTTTCGCACAGGAAGACCTGGCGAGAAGTCTGGGACGATGGCGAATTTCCGCTGTTGTCAAGAGCATGTGAGTTAAGGGTAACGTCAACCCATCTTTTGGAACATCTTAGCTTTGGACTGTCTCTACCACGGGAAAGCATCCAGAAGATGTTCTAAGAAATGGGTTTTTGGTACCTCTAAGTGAAGTTTTTGACGCAATGGACGCAGCGCAGCCGCATGGCGTGGTTCCGTGTGGCTTGGGGAGCTACACCGCTTCATTTTTCCACGACATGGGTGCTGCCTTGGGCCTGCCACCGACGGTGAAGAGAGCAGACGTAGCAGATGCGGAAGTCATGTGGGTTCGATACTACGTCATCCTCAATGACGTATTCGGTGTGGCGATACCTCTCCCATCCGTGAGAGATCAAGCAGAAGATCGAGATCTTCTATTGCCGCCAAGTGTATGCCAAAACCGGCTGCACGAGCTCGGCTTGGTTTTTGAGGAATTGTTTGTCGTGGAGTGTGGTGGAAGCTTAGAAAAATTCGAAGCCCTTCTGCGGGGATACTACGGAGCACCAGCACCCGGCGCTTTCGTAGAGGGAACAACAAGACAACCAGGACACGAAGTTGTACGATCATCTTCTTCGAGTTCATACAATGCACTTGCACCAGAACAAGACAATGCTACTCCAGTACGGTTGGAAGCATGTCGTGTCCGGGTGCCTGGTCAGCCAATGGCACAAGAAGTAGTGTCTTCACAAGGAGTGCAATCCGGCGTTAGATCAACATCACGAGGCCCTTGTTTACGAGAAGTGACGAGACCTCCCCTGGTTGCAGCAACACCCGGTCCAGGGCGGGGACTAGCACGTCGTAGTAGTACGACCTCCTCAGTTGCATCTTGTTTTTGACCGAAGGATCGAGAAGTAACTGCGGAGGTCGTACTACGTACGTGAGTAGTTGTAAACCTCCTTTTCAGGTTTCACAATTCCACGGCCGTCCGAAAGGCCACACTGTTGGAACTGTATCATCCCGCCGGTGGGCTAGGAGATACTCCGAGGGGCGCGAATGGATGAATCTGAGAAGTAACTGACAAGTATCCTTCTTGGAACCGTGTGTGCAAAGATCGATCATCACCAAATTTTGGGCATATCATAATACAGTCCTTATAATTTACATCCACTGTGTACGTCTTATATCCCAAATGGAATCTTCTGTATCGGTGTCGTTGAAACGAGTCGCATGAATCTAGATGCAAAAGAAGTAGTTTGACGACCATAGCACTACACACATAGAGCACAAAGAAATCCGGCGGGATCGTATGCGTCGCCCGGAGCGCATCAAAACAAACAAACAAGTAGTGTGTAGTGGTCCTTTCTACCCCTGGAGTGGGTGCATTCATTCATTCACTCACTTCTGTCTGGCGACATCTGTTTTCATTCTCTGTAGCAACAGCGCCTGCTTTGTTTAAGTGATGTGGACTGAATGCCAAGTTTTAAGGATCAACTGCAACTTAACTTTGACTGCAGGATTGAACGCCTGCTTTGTTTAAGTTATCAATAGTGATCGGTGCAAAGTTTTGTAATTACGTCGGTGGACGCATGACTAAACATAAAACCTTATCTGTGAAGAATGCATGGAATCCCTGAAAAAAAGGAATCCCTTTTGCGACGTGACAGTTTTTCAGCAGCGTCGGTCGAGAGAGTTTTTTTTTGATGTTTTTGTACCAAGTCATGTGGTATCTGCAGATAGGCTCAGTTTTTTCTCGGAAAAGGATGTGAGTAGATAGAGAACACCAAGTGCGTCCACTAAACAAACCTTTTGTCCTTTGTGACACCAGGTCAGCTTTTTTATAGCTCCCGCTATCGTTTTCTTCTACTTCATCCTTTGACAAGAAATTCCAAGCTTTCCCAGCTCGATATTTCCCAAACCAGAAAATTCCGAAAACACCGTAACCAGTTCTCGAGTTGTATAAAATTTGAGTTCTAGTAGTTCGTACTAGTAAAAAGTTTTCGTTGTTCATTACGACAGCAAAAACTGAAAGCAAAAATGGGTTGTGGTGCAAGCAAAGCTACTGCCGCCGCGGGCGTTACCGCACCGGCACCGGTCCTCCTGCAAACGGCGGAAACAGAAGTGAAGCCGGTCGTCGAAGAGGGAACCAAGGCACCCGTTGTACTACTCGTGATTTTATGTATACAGTCAAGAAAAAGAATGTTCAATTAGGAATTATGCCAGTTTGATTATCCTTTAGTTAAGACCTTCAGGTGGATGGTGAATCAAAGTTTTGTCAAATGTTTTTTTTTGAAGCAAGAATTGGACTATTGCTTAGACAAGAACTTTGATTTATTCATCTCTGTCAAGTGCATATGTTAATCTCTTCGATCTCTGCTCATCCAGAACTGTGATCGAATGCATAAATAAAATCAGATCACTGTTGTGGAATCTGCTGAGCCAGCTGCAGAAGTAAAAGAGGCTGCTGCGGAAAATGAAGGTACTTAACTACAATGTTTCTTTCTAGAACACACTTTAATTGTCGCCTGATATTTAATACTGAGTCAACATTTAAAAGGAAATTCAAAACCAGGTAACGCAGAAGCTGTCGCCGAGGAACCCGTAGCTGAAGCTGCAGCAGAAGAGCCTGCGGCAGTCACTGAGGAGGCCAAAGCTACAGCAGAGGAGGCTGCACCCGCAGCAGAGGCGACTGAAGAAGCGGCACCTGCTGTCGAGGAGGAGGCTGCGCCAGCAGCAGAAGAGGAGGCTGCGCCAGCAGCAGCAGAGGAACCTGCACCAGCAGCAGAGGAACCTGCAGCAGCAGCAGAGGAGTCTGCAGCAGCGGAAGAGGAACCTGCACCAGCAGCAGAGGAACCTGCAGCAGCAGCAGAGGAGTCTGCAGCAGCGGAAGAGGAACCTGCACCAGCAGCAGAGGAACCTGCAGCAGCAGCAGAGGAACCTACAGCAGCGGAAGAGGAACCTGCAGCAGCAGCAGCAGAGGAACCTGCAGCAGCGGAAGAGGAACCTGCAGCAGCAGCAGAGGAACCTGCACCAGCAGCGGAAGAGGAACCTGCAGCAGCGGAAGAGGAACCTGCAGCAGCAGCAGCAGAGGAACCTGCAGCAGCAGCAGAGGAGCCTGCTCCTGCTGCCGAGGAACCTGCAGCAGCAGCAGAGGAACCTGCAGCAGCGGAAGAGGAAGCTGCACCAGTAGCAGCAGAGGAACCTGCAGCAGCGGAAGAGGCCGCACCTGCTGCCGAAGAGACGGCTGTAACTGAGGAAGCGGCAGCAGAGGAGTAAAGCAGGAATTGGACGCAAGGATATTAATGTTCTGATGTACAAATTGGCAGGATACTAAAACTTCTGATGTACAGAGAAAATGTTGATTTGAGTCATTTACAGTATCGAAGTAAACATAGTTTTTTTTTCTTTGCAAGAATGAAAGCCGATGTCACGACTGCTCTAAAATTGATTTTTTGAGTCGTGTTTTTACCTACAAACTAGCATATTTTGAGAAGAGAATAGTTTATTTTGAGAAAATGTACACCGCCTAGGATTTATTTTTCACAAGAGCCAACAACAACTAGAACAGTGGATGATCAGCCTGACGACTCTCGTGATGAGAGTGTCACATTGAACAACATTAGTCAACCGGGACGTACCGTTTATTGTCGTACACGTGTTCTTCAGGGCGTTTAATTCATAATATTATGTAAGAAATTGTAGTGGAGCTACAACAGCAAGTAAGTCTTGTAAACAGGAACGGAGTCGTCTTAATTCATGTAGTCTACGCAGGGTGCGAGCATATTCACACATCCAGCATAATAACAAACATAACAACATGTTTTTACATACATGATTTTGCGCACGAAAAACGGAAACTACATTAATGTCAATTTTCAGAACACCACACAAATCATGACTCCGGATTAAAAGTATCTAATGGGGTGAGGAGAAATCGAACCTACACACTAAAACGATCATCAGAACATTACAAAAATAACTCGCCGTGGTTCCGCAAAATAGTAAATGAAGTCTATGGAGTGACTATGGCATCCGTCATTTTCTCGTCCACACTTTAGCAGCCTCGCTCACTTCAGCAGCGTTGTTCTGCGGCCCTCATAAGCCCTCATAAGTCCTCGCATAATGGACGCGGCGTATGGCATCCCTATACATAGCATGATGCATGCGCATGCTCCTTCCAAAGATGAAATCTAATCGGATGGTCTCATTTTTGAATGGAAATGGGTGTGGCAAATGGACAACATCTAAAAATCTTTTGTAGAGCTTGACGCTAAGTGGAACTCGGTTTTTTTTTACCTCAAGACTTGAACTTGGATACACACGATCGTATCATAAATCCTCCAAGTAGTTTCCACCACAGAACAGCAGATTAGCAAAGCAGCTTATGTCAATCGGATTGAAAGATGTGAAGCAATTTGAAGAAGAACAAGAACAAGAAGCTAAGCAAGGTGACAAGTAGTCAGTAGGATTTTTTAGAAAACAAGAGCATCTCAACACCCAACGAACAAATTGTCAATAATAATGGGACTAGTCATGAGCAAGAACAGGTCATAGTCGCTTAGTCAGCGAACGTGATTTTTATGTGTGAATAATTGACTGGACACAACGACATAGTGAGAAGAACTCGAAATTCGTATTTGACTTTCTTAACTGCAGACGAAAGAATGTAGAACCCTTTCCGCGTGCTCTCGCCTCTTGCCTGATATTATAAACAGGGTTATTCTTCGTGCGGAACCGATCTACATTTGAGTACTAAGAGGCTTGTCGTGCTCGACTAGGCGGTGCTCACGACCGCGACTGGCGTAAGTGCTGTACGAAGTATTTGTTTCGTGTGTGCGTGAAGACGTTGCCGATGGGACGACAGCTTCACCCGGCCTCGGCTGAAACTAGCGACGGTCTCGCCTTTTTACGTAATTGTGGCAGAACATACGCGACAGAACAAGTTGATTGCCTTCATTTTTCAAGACAAGGAATTATTGCTGGGGGTACGGAAAACTTCTACCGGACCACGATAAGGACGCAGTACAGACACTTTTTATGGTGGAAATCAACACTGGAGACCTTTTGCTTGGGCACGCAGGAGGAGGAGAAAAGAAGAGCTAGTTGGTAGAGCGACCGATTACCGCGACAAAGCTCTTAGTAGCGAAGTTAACCACCTCGCTTCTAAGAAGGTCACTAGAAGTTGTGACGCAACAATTATCGAAGAGGATATCTACGACAATTGTCTTCTAGAGAGGATATATTACAAAATCATGTTTTCCTCGACAGTGACGACCAGCCGGCAGCGGCAGGGGAGTGCCAGCCCGACTCTGAGGCAGGCCTATGCCTACAAATACCTCATTCAGAAACTGGCGTCGGAATCCGATGACCAGTTGCTCTACTCTTTAGAGAATCTACCTGATGTATCTGCCTTCACACGGTGTGCACGTGAAGAAGACTGGGCGCCGGTATTTATTTTACGACCCTTCTAAGAGCAGTAGGTTGAAAATTCTCAATCATGATATTTCAGAAATTTCGTAGTTCTTCGGAATCTTCATCCGTGAGTGATAATTTTACACTGCTACAGATGAAAAACATCCATCACTGTCAGATTTTTCTTCGTTTCGATCGTGTGTTGAGCAATCCACGAAGCGGCGTGCGCTTGACCGCGTTGGTGCTGCGCGCAAGCGTCACGCTATTACAGCTTTGGCGGAATGGGGATCCCAATTTTCGTCCCGGAAAGTATTTTGTCTCCGCGCCACGCGTAGTCGACCTCCTGTTGGGATTTGGACCTTGCGTGTCAGCCGAGCTCGCGACCTGTGCAGAAGTGTTTGAGCAGTCCTTGCGACTCTTCATGGGGCTATTGTACGACACGACGTGCCCTGAGATTTTCCACTACCTGGCTGCTGAGAAAGCTGCGCGCGTTCCGTTACTAGTGCAGGCTCTACAATGCTGGACCGAGAACGAAGGGTTTTCCTTGGAAAACTGGGCCACAAAGCCGCTCACGACCTTTCCTGGCAAGCACGCGAGACTCGAGCGCGAATTGCGATCGCCACTACTGCCACTTGGAGATGCTGCCATTAAGGCTCACAAGAATTCATCTCAAGAAGCAGCTTTGGCGCCTTTGCTAAGGGGAAAAGACGTAAAAAAAGACGCATGAAGTATTGAGATGAATTTACTTTTGAGGTCTAATGCCAGCTTGCAGCCGACTGCGACCACTGCAGGTGGAGGGGGTGGAGCAGTGGAAGCAAGCTTTGATTAAGGCTTCCCCTAATCGTCCATGAGACATCCTGAAGAGTCTGCTTTTCCATGGGAAAAACACCCTTCCGGATGCACTACCTTGAGATGGAAGATTAGGCTGAGCTCTAATTTGGACAGATTTTCGCGGCCTGTAACAGTACTGCAGCGTTACTGCATATCTCTGCGGACGAGGGCACTACTGCCGCGTATCAGCGCGCACGGCGGCGGAAAATGCTACGACGATATTTGTTGCTCGACAGCACCAGTTCGATTTCGACTTCAGCCGGGTCGGGTTCCTCGGGCTCCTCGCCGCAGCACCGACGAATGCTTCCGGAAGTTTGTCTGACCATCCCTTTTTACGGTGCTGCGGCGGCAGACAGCGGCTGTGTCGTGGGTCCGGACGGTGCGGACGTCGACACGATTCGGCTCTACTTCCAGCGTGTGTTGGCGCAAACCCGGATCACGTCAGTTCGATGTCTGCTCATACTACCCAAGTTGGTGGTCTCCCATCCGACGGTGGCCAAGAAGATGCGAGCGCGTACGAAGGCAGAGTTGGAGGACACCTGTTCTCTCCAAATGTTCAAGGAGGTGCAACCAGCTTTCTTCACGACAGAGCTCTTTCCGTTTCTGCAGAAGCACAGCCTGCCGCCCCCGGGCTGTGAAAGCGTTCTGTGCGCTTGTATCGGGCTTCTAAACTGGCTCCACGACTCGAAGCCGAAAATAGACTTACCGAAAATGATGGGTACTAATGATACAAAAGTTGAATATTATATGTTGAGTGCTGGTGCAACAATACTATTGTTGACTCTGCTTTTGCTTCCGATGTTTGTTTCTTGGAGATGATCTCACTGCAGCTTTAGAATTATTATGTATGAGAATATCGTTTTCTGCTCTCCTCGGCAAATGAACGTGAATCAAAATATTTGTCTTTTTACTCTCTACAACTGCACATAAGTAAAATTGCCTCGGCCAGGTTCTGCGCCGATCACCGCGGTGTTGAACGCATTGCGGCGGAACTTGACTTATATCAACGAGCGGACCGAGGGGATCGTCCGTGCAGGGACCTCCGACGATCCGAGTCGCCTGAAAGATGTATTGCAGAGTTGGTTGATGACCTTGCAGTATGGTAATCACCGCAAGATCACGGATTTGCTGAGCGACCGTGCCTTACCTCTCTCGGAGATGCTGCATTTCATGAACACCGCGAGTGAGCGTGTCTTCTTCGGCTCCTTAGTTGCGACCGCGCGGTTGCTCGAGTCCTTTGCAGCCGCTGCGGGCGCCACCGCGCAGACCGTGTTGAAGGAGCATCGCGCCTTGGAGCGAGTTTTAGCCAGATTCACAAGCGAAGTCGCAGACTTGGACGCGGTGACTGACGCCAACGGATTCTTCCTCCAAGACTATCTCTTCTCCAAGAAGAACTCCTTTTTCGCAGGATGTCAACTGTTCTT